CAATGCCTAGGAGTCAACAAAGGGAAGTAAACAGTGTTTATGGAAAAGTTTATCCCTGTGAGAGTTCAATAAATAAATCTTGGCTAATTATAATAACTCATAGTAGATGGTTATTTTATATAATTAGAGCACCAAGGCAAAACAGCTTCTTAACTCAGTGATGGGCCATGGTACTGATCTCTGTGGAGTGACAAAAAGCATCAGACTGGACCTCAGGAGAGTGAGTGCTAGCTTCCAGTGCTCTTTGTACCTAATGCAGGACTCTGGGCAACTCCAAAGTTCTTGTTTGTGAAATTGGAGGTAAAGGAAAAGTGTTGGGTCGGGACAATTAGCTTATTAAAATGACATATATTACACTGTTAGGCATTTTTACAGATTTTATAAATATGATAAACTCTAGGAGATGAGAAGAGCAGAGTATTATGTTACAAATAAGGAAACTGGGCTCTAACAGTTTCAAGATGAAGAGGCTACCATGTGGAATTCAGCCAGGCTGCAAACTTGGGTCTTTAGAGGCACCTTCAGTATCATGCTGGGTGTCCATGAATTCTAGTTTTTAGATTTCCAGGTAAGACCCAGGGGAAGGATATCAACTTTATTACCAGTCACTTTTTTTTTTTCCTTTAGGAAAAATAGTTATTTTCTTTGACCACTATTCTCATTCAAACTGTGGTCTGGTACCAGCACTGAGAACTTGGAAATGCAAATCCTCAGGCCCCATCCCAGATCACAAACTCAGAAACACCTGGGACAGGGCCCAGCACTCTGTTATAACAGCCCTCCAAGGGTAGCCCAGGAAGCTGAAGCTTGAGAAATGCTGTGCTGACTTATGTACACTGGTTCTCCTTATAAAAGGCTGACCATGGTCATCTTTCCACCTTACTGCACTGAGAGACATGCAGTTCTGACTTTGAGTTGCATAAAGCTGCATTTTGTGAAACCTGTTTTTGCGATGCTTAAACCTATAACTGTGTGCTTCACATAATCAAAATATTCTGATTTTAATGTTTCAAGTTTACTTCAAATTTGAAAAAATTTTAGAAAAATTATCTATCTAGTACCTTCAGTTAAGTTGGCTCTAATATAATTAAAAATAATACTTTAAAACCCCTTTGTCCAATTAATATGTGCTAACAAAAATAATTTTAAAATAGTAATCTAAAATAGAATGAGCAGGGAATGGTGGTACATGATTTCAGCTACTCAGGAGGTGGAGGTGGGAGGATTGAGGCTGGCCCAGGCAAAAGTGTGAGACAAACCTGAAAAACAAACTAAAGCAAAAAGGGGCTGGAGGTGTGGCTCACATGGTAGAGTGATTGCTTGGCAAATGTGAGGCCCTGAGTTCAAACCTCAGCACTACCAAAAAGTAAAAAAGGATTATTTTATTTATTCAAAGTGGTTAATGTTTTTTAATTGCTTACTACAGGTACTTGACCATCTACTCCTCCATTTCTATCCTTGAAATCTCAGTAATTTCAGAAGGAAATTCATGTTTACATGGGATTTATTTCTAATCAAGACACTTTTCTCCTCAATCAGTTTTTTTCCTTCTTCTTTTCTTCTTCTTCAGTTCTGGGGATCATACCCTGGGCCTTATGCTAATCAAGTGCTCTGTGACTGCATCCACAGTCCCAACCCCTTCTCGTCCAATCAGGAAAGAATATTTTCATAATAAAATAATCTAATATATTTGAGATTTTTGCTTTTAATATTCTAGAAAGCAAATATAGCATTCACTAATTATATATTATTTTTATATCTATTATTTGGTTTTAAGAGCACTAAGATTTCAAGGCCAGGTGCTCCTGCCTATAATCCCAGCTACTTGGAGGCATAGAGCAGGAGGATCATGGTTTGATACCAGCCCAGGCAAGATCCTATGTCAACCAATATACTGGGCATGCTGTCACACACCTGTGATCCTAGCTACACAGGAGGCCTAGATAAGAGGATCACGGCCTGAGGCCAGTCCCAGGCAAAACCACAAGAGCCTATCTGAAAAATAACTAAAGCAAAAAAGGCCTGGGTATGGTTCAAGTGGTAGAGCACCTAGCTACCAAGTATGAGGCCATGAGCTCAAATCCCAGTACTGACAAAAAAAATTAAAATTATAACCTTGAAGTTTAAAACCCTGGGGGTGGAAAATGTAGGCTCTGATTCCAACATGATTTGTTTATATTCAAATGACTCTGTGTGTATGTGTGTTATATGTCATCTATAACTTTAGGATATTAACACTAATTTAAGAATTCTCTAGAATTTTTAAGTATGCATCTCAAATAAATTTTGCCAGTAAAATTTTACAAAGGTAGAAGTGCAATGCTGCCTTTCAAGAATAAAACCTTATATATGTATAAAATTTACTTTTTTCCATATCAAAATACCACAGAATCATTTTTTTGCCCTTTTGAATGCAGCAGCCAACAAAAACAAAATCTACATATTGCGTGCTGCATTTGTTATTAACTCATGTACATAAGCAAGAGTGTTGTTGTCTGTGGAAGTGTAAGACTTTGGAATCACCTCACTGATAAAATGGCATGCAGCTTGCACAGCATTTGCAGAGTGACAGCTGAGTGATGGATATAAGACCAGTCAACTTCTGTCCACAACACTGCAATTATTTTATTTATCTTCTTTAGACTTTATTTTGGCATCACTTACTGAAAAAAACATTTGCAATTATATGAAAATTAACAAGCAAGTTTCTATTGTGTTTCTGAAAAGATACAGATTGAACATACAAAGATGCTTGACAAAGTAGTATAAAAATCTATAGTTTTAATTTTACTACACATATACATAGATATGTATAATTTCACCATATATTTAGCCTCATATCTCTGAGATGAAACAACACTCTGCTTCTGCAGAGAAATGTATTTTGCCCATATCCACACATATTTAATTTGTTGCTCTCTTAGATTTTGGAATTTTTTTCATAGTTTTATAAGGACTAATTACAGTGCTTTCCCAAATATTTAGTTTGAGGTATCAACTTTGTCATTTTTTAAACTTAGGATTTGCTCACAACACACAACTAAATAAGCCTCATAAACAAGGAAGAACTATTCATGCCAACAGCAAATGCCAAAGCCAACTCATGTTCATAATTGCTTTGCAACATGTTTTGACATGAATGACTCATTAACACTGGGCCAGTGCCAAATGGTACCAACTTGTGCAACTGCTCTGGAAGGAAAATGATAACCATGGAGGCAAAGGATGACTGAGCAAGTGGAATCTACCCTCATTTGATCCAGTAAGGAAAATACTGTCTTCTGAAGAAAACCAGAAATTTTATTCTCTTTTTTTCAAAATTCCTTTGCAGTGAATAAAATATGATCAATCACAATATAAATTTTGTGAAATTTACCATGAGAAGAAAGAATAGTAACTTCCTTGGGCTTCCTACTCAAGGATCTCAATATGCAATGTTGTTTCTGAACACCAAAATTTAGTTAAAACACAAAGATTTAACAAAAAGCAAACAATCCCAGCTTTGGGGAGACAGATAGTAAAGATGAAAAAAGTAAGAATTTCACTTCTATATGATAAAAGGAGAAATTTTAAAAACTTCATTTTGATGGAGAAATGTATATGTATTTGTTTTCTCACAATGCACTTAGTTATAGTTCACTAGTGATTTGATAGGTAGATACACTCCTTTAATCAGAATCCAGGTCTGTGGGTGGGATCAGTGAGGATGTAGATTGCATGCCCTGAGCAATTAATCTGGCATTATTGGAATAATAGCAGCTCAGCAAAGCACTTGGGCTACAGCCCCACTTACTTTATTAACTAACCTGACAATCTGGCACTAAATAGCAAAATACAGAGCCAACCCCCTACATCTTCCCCCTGCTTTACTCAGGAGAAGCCAAGTGATGTAGAGGCAGTTTGAGTCTGAGACCCTCTAAAACCCTTTAATACCAGCATATTGTGTACCTTCACAGAGATGTTTTGCCAGGTTTTTCCCAGAAGACCACTTTAGTTGCCTCAATTATTCCAACACACAGGTCTCTAAGTCAATTATTCCTGTCTGCTACCTTCTGGTTACAATTTCCCTTTTTGTCAAAAATACACCCAATGGTTCCTTTAATGCAATGACTAAACATTAAGAAGTTGTCCAAATTTAGCTTGTCTTTCTGTAAATTACTGGCTTCTTTTTTTTCTAACGTCTTCATCTGCTCAGATCCCTTTGAATCATCACTCTGTCTCCACCTGAGTTTATATTGCCCTCAGACTCAGTGCCACTCACACACTAAACAGATGTGCAGTTATCATGTCTCCTTGATAATTAACAAAGACGTTAAAGGACTAATGCCAATTCAGTGTCATGCGCTGGATACCTTTCACTACCTGTTATGTCATTGTTAATGGTCTATTAAGCAATTTTCATTTCACCTTATGGACCCATATAACATCCAAGCTAGAGATTTCATGAATTAGGGAGGTATTACAGACTATTAAGTAGCCTCTTCCTTTGTTTTTAAAAATCATCTCTAAATTTACTGTGGACAATCTGAGAAATTAAATTGGGAAAGATATTTTTAAATTTCTCAAACTTTCACAGCCTTTTATCCATTCCTCTAAATCATATTCATTGTTTTACTAGACACACTAATGGTAGTGTTTCTCATTTTCAAAATAACATAATTTCTTGTTATTTAAATCTTTTGTTTTCCCCAAATTATCATTGTTGTTTTGACTTGCTTTATCAGTGCAGCCTTTAGTTTTCCAAAAGTTTTCTTATCTTGCTCTAGCTTTATGTTTCATCATTCTTTCATATAGAACATAAATGTTGGCATCATACAGAAGCCAGTGGGACAAAGGCATCAATCATCTGGGGAGGGTTAGCTGCTCTCAAATCAATCTGTTAACACACCTCAAGGAGACAGGCAAATACTGCTGTCAGGGAAGGGCTGAACACCCAAACTGCTTTTGTTGTAAAAAATCTATAATGAAACAATAGAAAATGTATGTAAGTATTCACTTACCTGCTTTTGATCAACAATTATTTCGAAGTCTTCATCACTGCTTAGTTTTCCATATCCTTGTTCTTTACTTTTCTTGTGAAAGAATAATTTTAAATGATCATTTAGTTTCTTTCCATTAATAATCTTAATTCTCAATACTTCTTAAAGGTAAGTCTCTACTCAGCCTTGTGCTAACTAGTCACAGGTATCGTGCTATGTTAGTTTCTTGTGCGCAACAGCAAGTATTTTTATTGTTAAACTGCTGCCTTATAATTATTCATCAAGAGTTTATGCTTCCCCTCTCCCATCCAAATTATGCCTTTGATCTTTTCTTAATTTTTCTGTTTCTCTTTTATTCAGTAGTCTCAGAAAAGATTCGGCAACACTTTGAGATAAATAAGCAATTCCTTGAAGAATCTTGCACATTTCTTTAAAGGACAGAAATTTCATTTAGGATTATACTATGATTAAGGTTCAAATATTAAATCTTTTATTTTAGTGCCCTACATAATTTTAAGAATAAGAGATTTATTATACAACTGAAATAATGAATCTTTAAATTTTCAATATTGTTTATAAATCCAATTAATATTAATAGTAGAAAAAAACAATGCAAGTAATTTTGAAAAAAATAAAATACATTTCAAAATTAGGTTGTTAAAAAGTTTGGAAGCGTACAGACGGTCTTAAAAAATGCACCTCATTGGTGTAATGTTATTGGTATTTTTGATCTCACCCACTCCCCACCCATCTCCCCCATAGCAAAATCTGTAATGATAAGTTCCAAAGATGGAAAAGCACATAGGTTACAACAATAATTTACAGTTGTTCTACAGAAGGATGATAATATGTTTGAGTCCTTTTTATTCTCCCAGTGCAAGAGCTGATGGGAGTACTAAAAATGTCATGCTACTTCTTCATTCCAGTAACACGTGGAAAATAAAAATTACTACTTAGTTAGCTATAGTCAAGGTTTCTTTTAAATCCTTGTTTTAGATAATAGCTGCATTGAATACAAGTAAGAGAACCGACCATATTTCTTATCCTGTGTCATATGAGAATCCCCATCCCATTAGGGGAAGATATATACCTTTTAGTGACTATGATGTAAATCTTCTTTACATTGTGGAACACAGGCTTTTTTCCTTTATAACAGTTCAAACTTGATTTATGAATTCCTCCCCCTGTAAACATGCCTCCTATTTTTGTGTTTTTAACTGTAATAAGGAATCTTCAAGTATTAGGGTGCATAAATAAAATCCAGATTCTCATTCACACATTAATGAATTTGGCCACTTAGAACAGAGAAGATGGCCACAGTATTTCTCTCTATTATTATTCTTGTCCTCATTTGAGGTTCCATTACAGAACTCATAGAAAACAAAAAGACAAGGTTGATTTCAGTCAAGCTGACTTCCTTCCTATCACTTTGCATTTGTACCCTTTTAGTCTACTGGTTGCCAAAAGATATTGTCCAGAGACCCTCTAATGTAAACATTTAGAAATGTCTTTCCAAATATTGATTTGTATACGTACCAAGTAGCTCATTTGCATGACCCGATTTCTGGACAAAAGGACATTAAGTAGAGATGGAATGTGAGTCCTTCCATCCATTTCACTGTCAGACATCCCAGAATTCTTTGCACAAGCAGCAGTGGCTTCATTGCCAGAACTTGCTGACCAGAGAACCACAGATCTTGCCCAGGAACAATATTAATAATGTATAACAATAATTCTTGAATCATTATTTTGACTTTGAAAACATTGTGAAATTTTTGGCTAGCACAAAGAGTCATTGAAACAAAAATTTCTTTTCCTAACTAATTTTCTCCATATATTTTTATGCTCCCTGACTGCTGTTCATTCCCCTTTAATTTTTTAAAAGACAATCTATTATTTATTATATAATTTTTCTATTTAATTCCTCACATATGGACTATTCTGCCTCTTTCTTATAAAAGTTCTTAAGTTCACCCTTTTTAATCCTCTGACCCAGACTTCCTTGACAATCACTGCTAATAGGTACAATAATATCAGCACTCACAGAACATAATTCACAATTGCAATTTCTGTCAATATTAATTAAATTCCACCTCTCCAATTTAATCCCAACTCCTTATCTTATTTAGTAGTAAATTTTCCTGGGAAGAGGGGTCAGGAAAGGAGAGTATGTCACCAACTACTTTGAATAGAAGTGAAATTTTCTAGGAGTAGGAAAAGGGACTTAGAGCTCTGATTTTGTACTTAAGCCCCTAGTCTCCAAACAGCACATAACAGTACACAAAGCCAGCAGTCTTACAGTTTTACTCTAGAATTAAACAGTATTTTCTAGTTTACCCATAACCCCTGGGAGATTAATCCTTTTCTAAGCCACACAGTCACTCACTCACTTACTGCTTATTTCTAGTGCCAGCATAATCCTCTTTCAAGAACTCAGCTGCCCACTTTGACTGCTTAGATCAGCCAGCCCAGTCAAGGATCTTCAGCTCTCCTCCCTCCCAGCCAGGACGCCCTGGCTTCTATCTATGCACTTTTGCCAAGCACAAAAAGCAAGTCCATAGCTTCTTCGGGGTCTTTCATATTAGCCAAAGAACTGAACTAGGAGGAAGAAAGCTACTCTTTCCTGTCCAAGTATGAGGGGGCAGGGCTTCTGTGGGAGGAGAAGCCAGAGGGTAATCACTTCCTGTGCTCCTCCCACCTCCCTAAGGGAGCAAGACACTGGAGCTGAGGATTTCAACTGAGGCAATAAGGCTGGTCCTCTTTCCGCCTAGCGTTAGCATGCTGCCTGCTAATGGCCAATATTGTGCACTATTCTCTCAGCACAGCTAAGGAGAGGCATTAGAGTGGGGGAGCATAAACTGAGGATGTGAAGGTTGGAGAAAAGAGAGAGAGAAGAGATAAAAGAAATGGTCATTGTTTGCTGACAAGGCTTTGCTTCCTGTAAGAAGCTTTTAGCTCAGGATTGCTGCCCAATCTCTGAAACTCCAAAGGCAGTATCTCCATCTTACACTATTCTGCTTTCTTTCCTACTAACTTGGGAGAGAATCATCTAGTTTTTTGTTAGTGCTGTTAACTTTTAAAACACTACTCAATTTTAGATCTGTAGTTTTCTTAAGAATATCAAGCCCACCTTTGCTTTGTGCAGACTTCCAGCATCTCTTCTAAACCCTGTCTACCTTCTGCTTCCTACCCTTCCCTTCACTTTCTTCTCCACAAATGTAGAACAGAAAGATGGACTAAATTAAATAAATCAAAACACTCAGAAACTGTATAGGAAAACAGCATCATGGCTACAAATATAGAATGTATTACACAAGAAAATTTAGTAACTAAGTTAACAACAATAACAGAAGCTGATGGGATAGAGACCTGAAAATTTGAATGTTCGCTTCAAAATATGAGCTTATTAAAAAGTGAGAATTTCAATTGAAAGACACTAGTTGTGTATGGGTTGAATTAAAAGGAATCTTCATTCTCATTAGGAATGGGATATATATGTATATATATATGAAATTTTGGAAAAGGAAAACTTGATACAGCTAATAATACAAATTGCAATTTTTGCCTAATTACAGGTGTCAAAATAAATGCCAAGATTAAAGCTTTCATATAAATACTGCAAAACAGTTTGCAATGAATGATACACAGTAGACATGAATTTATTAAAGCAAATGTCACATGAATATAATATTCTTCCTACTGTCTTCTTAGCTGTCAACTTCATAGTTGTTCCTATTCTTTCATTTTCCCTCTTTAATCTCTTTTGCATCATCTTTCTTCCAACTGCCTGAAAATTGCTTAAGATTTTGCTTCCCTGAAAAGTGATTTTCTCAGATCTGCTTTCCCCTAAAGACTTTAATTTTAATCTCCTTCTCTCTGCATTGATAAATTCAAAAAGTGGTTCATATTCACTAACAATAGTTGTTTACTTTCTTTTTTGCTCACTAACAACAATTCTTTTCTTTTCTTTCTAAAGCAGTCATAATTAGGGTACATTATCATTTTACTAGCACTCTTTCTTAGAACCAATAGAGTATCAATGAGAAAAAGGACTGGGAAAGAAGATAATTTGTGGACATGGTACTTGCTGAGTTTGTGGTGTCTTTGGAAAGTTCATCCAAGTGGAAAGATCTGGTTGACCATTGGATGTATGGGCTTATATAGAGAGGAGAGATAAGGGCAGGATATACAGGTTAATAGAGAAAATTAAAGTTACTGAGTGGATGAGCTCTTCAGAGGAGAAAATGTAGAGACAGAAGAGGTGAGGACTAAGGTCAGAGACCTATGGAATGGTTACCTTAAAAGAATGGGCAAAAGAAAAGAAGTCAGGAAAGGAAGAAGAGGAAGAGGAGTGGCCACAGCTGTAGGAAGAGAACAATGGAATAGTCAAAGGAGAAATACTTCTGAATAGTGTCAAATGTTGCTAAGAGGTTAAATAAGGATATGAACTGCAAACTGTCATTGTGTTTGACACCAAAAGTCAATGAGTAGGAAAAGAAGAAGTGAAGATGGAAGCCAGAATAAATTATTGAATACATTAGTAATAGGGAATGAAGACTTACTTTCCCATAGGAAGCTTGGGTGAAAAGATAAAGAGGGAGCAAGAATGCTCACCAAAATACAAAGGATATGGGGAAAAAATGTTGGGAAAGTTGTAGTTATTCCTCCTTCCCTTATAGGTCTTGACTACATCAATAGTTCAAGAAGAACTAATTTTTTTTTTATAAAGTGAAAATATCAGTATAAGAGATTAATGGAGTTGTAATTCATAAAGCAAGAAAGATCTAAGCCACTTTGTACAAAAGCTGCTTCTCTTTTAAAATTTGTACTCATGTGCTGTATCTTTACAGAAAAAAAAATATGGAGGATTATATGCCAAATACTAAAAGACTTTTTTCTCTGGGAGAAAGAATTATGCATGATGTGTGCCTTTTTCTTTATAATTGGGAATACTTTTTTGAAATAAAAATGTATTTTGTTCATAATTAAAAAAGGAAGCAAAATATGATTGCTTAAGAAAACTATAAAATTGCTATAGAAAAGACTCAAAGATGACTTTGCAGAAAAAGGACTGGATCAGGGCTTCACCCTTC